CCCCACCCGTCTCACTCGCCGCGAGACGGGGTTGCGCGGGCGGAAGTCGATAGCGTTCGATATCCCGCGGGAGAACTTCGGGCGAAAGAATACGGCGGCGATGCGGCATCGCGATGTTCTCCCAGAGCGATGCGACCATCTCCCCCTCCCCCTCCCCCCCGTACATGTCGGCCACGGCGAAATCTGTGAGCGCGACACCGTTTGTGTTCCTCCCATGTGATACACATTATTTCGGAATCCACTCCCGCGAATCGGCCGCGATTATGTTTCCGGGACCGGCGTCCAGACGGGGAATTCGATATCGACGGCCGCGCGAGAGGTTCCTTTTCGGGAACGTTTCCCAGCTGGCCGGCCGGGGTTGAGCGTGCAGGCAATCTAATTCGCCTCGCTATTTCCGAAACAGAGAAATAACAATGAATATTGATGAGCCATGCGCTCTCGCCAAGTGCGAATTGACGGGACGGAGACCGCGAGAGACGCGTCGCACGAGACGAGAACGCTCGCAATGCTCGCAAACGCTCGGGGGTCTCGACTATCTTCCGAGTAATCTCCCTCTCCATATTTCCAGTTACTCCACGACACGTATCTACCAGATTCGTTGAAATCTATCGTAGCGAAAATTCAACGGAACATCTTCTTCTTAACACTTTCGACGACCGCGTATGCGTGACTTCATTCCGCCGGCGGCGTATCGACCTTTGTAAAAAATACCTCTCGGAAATGTCAGTCCGTTATATTGTAATATTATTACATTATATTAGAATATTCGAACTTCGTGCAATTATATTGAACTCAATTACGATGCGTGAAGATAAATTGAAAATGAAAATTTCGACTCGCGACTGCACATTCTGAAATAACACGAGTGAATGCACGACTAACGTGCCTCTTCCCGTGTCGAAACGAGACCGAGCAAATGGGGAACGTTATTAACCGTGCTGTCATTCATCGGTTGAAAAACGAGTATTGAAGACGGGCGATCTTCTCAAAAATACTCGCTCGTTATATTCCTTCGCTCAATGCGACGCTCGTGCGTGCCTGAGAGCGCAAGAAACGAGTATGAAAATGATAGGACAAATTCGAAGCGGATCATACGAGGGTAGTGCAAAAATAGTGAGACATTTTTGCGATAGATACTTCCCAGTCGTCGAATCAATCCGTGAACGTTGGGAGGCCGCGAACGATCGCGCGAGACGGGCGCTTTCATCGCGGTTAATGCACGCGCGCGCGGTGACTTACGACTCGGGGAGTCGCCGCGAACGACACGCTCGCTCGCGTGCATTCTCCAAAATTAATAATTACAACGGGCCGACGGCGAATCTATCGCGTTGCCGCTCTGTAACTCCGCGAGCCGGTCTATCGCCGGTGTCGCGCCGGCCAACCTCGATTTCCTGCGCCATGAACGCAATTACGCGAAATCTCCGATACAGCTAATTACGCTTCAATATCCATCGAGCCGCTTCAATCATTCAGCGGCGCGCGATACGGGATGTTGGCTTTAATTACTACGCCCGCTCGTTAATAAATTAACGTTCGATCAGTATAAATAAACGCTCCGGTCCGGCGACGATAAAAGGACCACGGGGTCCTGCCGGGAAGGGGGGGGGGGGGCTCTCCCGACTGTCGTGCGTCCCTTGGCCACCGATTTCGGGACGAGCGGACTAAAACAGCGGCGGCACGGGCGAGAAGTCGATCGACACAACAAGCGTTACAACGCGCCTCTTTGCGCGAGACAGTTCGCCTACCGAATTACCCGATATACACCGGATAGGAGGCGCGAGCGCCCCGGGAAATGGGGAGGGGAGGCGATTCGATTTAATGCCTTCGTGGTTCCGAAGCGGCGCGTAGAAGCGGGCGATAGGTCGCGAGGCGGCGGTATTAATTAATTTACGAATGGATTATCATAAAAGCGCGGCGAACAGGTGCGCTAATGCCGATTCGCTAATTGCCGGTAGTTACGGCGCGATCGATCGGGCAATACCGGCCGTTATTTACTGCGCGCACGGACGTGCGTGCCTACCAATATTGACCCGGGGCCCGAGCCTCATCCAGTAAACGCAACGGTGTATATATTAATCATCGCAAACAAAGGGTAAATCGCCCTTAATCGGAAACAACGCGCCGCTTTCCTACGGCGGTGCGTGACATCGTGTCACATGGGAGGTCGCGTCGACGATCGTTCGTCGCGGGGGACGCCCGCGCGACTCTTCGGCTCGCGATTCACTGGCGTTCTCGCTCCCCCCCCATGTGACACGATGTCACG